CACTTCGGTCCGGTTGGTGATAAACGAAATCACTTCAGGCGCGACTTGTTGCATCAAAACGGAGCATTTCTGATTGAGCGGATTCAGCAAAACTCGTTGCAAAGTGGCAAATAGTCTGGCAAGAGCTTGGCGCTGGTTCTCCACGACGCGGGGCTTGGGACTGTGACCTGCAACTCGGAACAAGTGATGACCCGCTCTTTCGGCAGGCAGCGCGCGTTGCACGTACGCGTAGAGCCACGGACACTCGGCAAAGCACAAGTGGCCGCGACTCAGCAACTTGAGCACTCGAGTCTGAAACGCTCGACACTCGGAATAAGATCGAAGATGGCGCCACGTTGAACTGGACTTCTTGTCGTGTACTGTGAGCGCAAATGTTGACGCATCTCGAGTCAAAGTCTTGGTGGTCACTTCGACCGTCACATTGGCCAAATAGGCGACACTTGGAGCCAGTGACTCGGTCGGTTTCGAAGCTTGTGGGTCGTGGCGGAGGCGACTAGCGTAGAGCGCCGAGCACTTGGGGTGGCGCTGTAGTGGCGTGTGCGATGATTGCAACTCCATTTGGCAAAATCTTTCTCAAGTGGAGAGTTTTGCAACTGGAGCTGAACTCCGTCACCGAAGCGAGAAGGCACAAATGGAGCGAATTGCGGAGTGAACAGGACTCGGATTGTTCGTGCGTGGCTCATGTGCTGTGCCATTTGGTTGGACGAGCCAGGTGGACTCAAATTGTACGTGGCCGAGCAGAGAAGCAGCCATCGAAGTCACTTGCCATTCTACGGTCGAGACCCACTCAAAAAATTATCCAATTGGATGGGATCTGGCTTTTTTAATCAAGGTCGGAATGTGTCTCTGTCCAAAGTTTGAAGTCCCATCTGAACTAAGAACACTTCATTTTACTAAAGGATGGAAAATAGAACGGCGAATAGTGACTTTTTCGTTTGAACGATGCTACATTACTAACACAACACCAAAATGAGACTTGAAGGAATTGAAGGAATGACCACCGCGATGTGAGGGCCTTCGATTTGGATGGACCGTTGAATCCTTGCGTTCGAGCTTTGTCTCCTTTCAGGGAGGTTGTCTGACCACAGATTGACTGCGGAGAAGCCGTCATCCTACATCGCCTGGATCCCACAATGTAGCGACCAAAAGTGCAGTTTAGAAGCTTGCCGAATCACCAGCACTGATGCATCCTCTGCGACTGTATTTGCATAGAGCGCTATTGCATCCGCCACTTTCCTCACGTCGCAGAGCAGTTCGCAATCGAGCACCCACTCGTCGTAATCGCGTGACTTTCTGACTCAAATTTGCCACAAAACAACATTAGGCCCGCAATATTGCGGAGAAGGCATGTGTTGCCATCCCATAGTAAGGTTCAGATCCACTAGGTTGCGTTACTTGCGCTACGTTTGGAGTGCTGTGGTGACGCGACCACGCCATCAAATTTAGTCCAATGTTCTGGAAGCAACACCACGCGCTTCCTCAAGATTTGACTTGAACACATCTGAGCAAAATGCCGAAGCTGTGCCTGTGCAACAACTCTCTAGGATCACAAAAGCGATAGGCGAGCTGAAAAGTTGGAAAGTATCTTTGTGCTGTGCTACCCAAAGTCTGGATCATTTGAGACTCTACGCTACAGGCCTTCCACAACGGGCTGTTCTCAGCCTTTGTCGTCAAATTCAGTCCGTTGCACCTTCGAGAGAATGTGAAAGAAAAATTTAACTCGAATGACGGAACTTCTTAGTATTGAACTTGTAATACCTGCTCCAATCCTTTGTTCTAGTGTTGTCAGACCTATCTTACCATACGCCTTGGATCGATTTATGAGCTCTCTTTGCGACCACAGGTTGGGCACTCAAGAGCTTCATTGAGCTTTCCAATCAAGCATTCGTCATGGAAATTGTGACCACAGGTAAGTGTTGTGAACGGTTCGGCTGCAGCGAGCTGGGACCACC